TGAAATCTGACCAATACCCACCCTGGAAACACTTCCCACTCCCCCCAAGGAGCCCTATATGACCTTGTTTCTGTTCACCTTTTGACTGCTCCTACTAACCAGCTGTCCTCTGCAACTCTGGCAGAGGTAGCCACTCTCCTGGACTCTTCCCTCCCAATAAACCCCTTGGATGAGCTTTGGGAGAAGAACTTTTGGCGTGGAGCACAAACGACCCTGGGCAGGGCAGAGCAAAAAGGACTGTTAACGCTTTTGCCAGGGAAACCTTCCCTTGGCAGAGCTCTCTCCCATTCTCCCGGGAGCAGAGCTGAATTGTAGAAACTTGACCTGGAAACCTTCTCCTCCTGGAGCAAAACTGCTACACAGGGCAAACATCCCCAGCTGGAAGACCATCTCCTGCCAGAGCAGAGCTGATTCACTGGGGAAGCCTTTCCTGAGGCAGGGCTGTAAGCTACTATACTTTCTACCACCTTTGTTAGTCCTTGGCTCCTGTACCTTTCCATTTGAGATGACTCCCAAGTGCCAGAATACCTGTCCCATCCAATCCTTCTCAAATGCCTACACCATGTGACTTGATATTCTCTGGCTATGTTTGGGGATGAAGGACAAAATGCTTGAAGATGTGTACTTACAATCAGTGTGTGTCTACACATGGAATTAGGCATGCTGAGAAACCTGATGAATGAATGCTTTTTCACCTACAAAAATACAACAATAGGATTGATATTCCCCTAGATGCCACTAGTTTAAATTTAGAACAGGCTTAACTTTAGAAAACTATTAGGCATTTTTAAGGTCAAAAATTTCGCCTTACTCTGTGTTCATCACCTTGTGAGCAATCACAAAAGAAGGGAGGCCTGTTGGTCTCTCAGACAGAACCCTTGAAACTCTGTTCACGTCCTTCTCTCATTAGAGACCACTAGGGACACAGGCTGCAGACACTAGTCACTCTTAACCTCCCACAGTGACCTTGATAAACACTGCTCAAATTGCTTTCCCATTTTCATGCAGCCTTGGACTTCAATCCATAAAATGCTACCATGACATTTATTGTGGGACTCCCTCTCTCAATTAATCTAATCTAGATATCTCTCTCAAAAAGGCTAGAGGCTTGTCTCCTAGGTGACTCCACATCCTTTAAATTGAGCTGATTCAAAGGCACAAAAATTATAACAGCCAAGAAATTAATTTTTAGAAGGGCATTGTCAGCAAGCCTGCATTTTGCAGTGCTAATAAATTAATGGATCCAGACAATTATTCCCAATTACTATTCACAGTGCAACAATTTTTAAGCATCTGACAGAATTACATCGCCTATACTCTTCCTGTTCCACATATGCATGCTGGTTGGGACACTTAAACTTATAAACCACATCTCAAAAAAATTTTTATCATTTTTTATTTTAATTTTAAATAGCTTGCTTTACATGTCACTCCCAGTTCCCTCTCCCTCCCCTCCTTCCGCACTCCCCTTCCCCCCCTCACCCTCCCACCCTATTGCCAAATCCTTCCACATAGGGGATATCAGAGTCTGTCATTTTACTCTGGGTAGGGTCCAGGCACTCCCCTAAGAGTCCAGGCTGAGAGAGCATCCCTCTTTGTGCTATAGGCACACGAAGACTGTTTGTATACCAGGGATAGACACTGATCCACAGCTCAGGGCATAGCATGTTCTATGCCTTTCTGTGTGCAGGATAACCCAGAAAACATGCATGAGAGGGAAAGAAATTATCTCAGAAGATCCTTGGTAAGTGAATGACCTCCTCCTTCTGAACTCTAGAATGGATGTTGAGTAGGGCAAATCAATGGAACCCTGTCCCAAGCAATCACTAGCTTGAAGAAGATTGCTTTTACCAATACCTCCCATAAAGCTTCAGAGTTCCACAAAGGCTACAGGGATATAGAGGAGACTGGACATCAACTCACATACAGTTTTAGCATATCGAACCTGCTTGGTATTGAAACAACACTCAGGCCATGGCGCATCCTATAAAGATAGCTGAAGGCCCTTTAAATAAACATCCCCCTATAGTAGTCTCAACTTCATTGACACATATCATGTCTGGTGACTTCCCTAATGCCTCACACATACACTTACTTTCAGGTATCCCTGGATAACAGAGCAGCCTCTACCAACCTACCCTAATATTAACAGGCCTGGATTGATACAAATTCATCCCATCATCTAACATGTATTTAATACAAAAGGTGCCCTGCTAGATGCCCTGTCCTACTCCTCCCACTGATATGCACAGTTACTCATCAGAACCTTTAGACATCCCACCTCACCTGTGACCACACATCTAATTCTAGGTATCAGGTGTTGTTTGACCTCCTATCCCACAAACCACTATCTTTCAGACCATGCTGTGAACTTCACCTCCTGTCACATTCATGAAATTGTCTGCTCAGTTTTGACCCATTGGACATCCTAACTCTGCACTTGTCACAACTTCAGTGCCAGTCACCATTTCTGATGGTGTCCTCCTCAAGCACACAGAGTGCTGGGTATCAGGCTCTATTACAATTAATGTGCCATGCTGTACATTAACTACTCCTGCAGTCATACAGAGTGATGTCCTTCACATTCACCTGACGCCAACCTGCCTTCCCATATGATGTGCCAAGTTTGAAAGTAAGCTTGTCACACATTCTTGCTATACACTAGTGACCACCAAACACTACTATATTCCATGGTCTTATGGAAACACACACACACACACACACACACACAAACACACACTATGAGCCTGGTACATTTATGAATTTTGTCTCATATACTCAGAGGCAAACACCTATGGATTTATAAGTCACAATTGATCTTAACATAAACATTGTTTTCTCCAAAGTGGGAAGGTAGGTAGGCCTTGCAACCCATGATATTGATTTCCCCCTGAACACGTCCAGCAACCATGACTTCTCTATGACCAATGATGACCATAGGGGTCATACTTAAGAGGAATCCTTCATTATGGTGCAAACCTTGATGTCAGCCACAGGTTCAGTGTGAAGCAGTGGTGAGCATGGTGTGTGAGCTCTATTCCAGAACACCTTCAGGTAGAGACCACACTGAATTCTACCTCAGGAAAGTCACATGGGACAAAAATGGATATTGCCCCTTCCTTGTTAGGTCCTGAATTTGGCAAAGATAAACCTGCTATTATCTGAGAGGCCACAGGTCTAGGGCTGGTGAATGAATATTTCTGCAGTATCATTCGATGTCTAAAATCAGATTTCTCTTGTCTGTGCCTGGTCACAATGTAAGTCATGGTCCCTGAACTGCAGATGTGCACCTTGAGCATTTGTGATATTTAAAGAGGAGTGTGTCTCACAAATCCCATCTCCTGGAAGATTACTCTACCAATCCTGAGGTCCTGAGAGCTCAGAGTTTACAAAGCACATTATGAGGACACGCTATGATTACCATTCAGTGGTCTCTCTTGCAACTTCTAAGTGCAGGAAATGACCCAAATCACCAACAATATCTGTGGAAATTACCGGAGGGTCCACGAGTGAAAGCTTCCCAGTGGGTAGATATTGTTGAATTCCTGCCCCGGATCAACATAGACTGCTTTCCATTCTGACAATGTTTAAAGTTAACTATACCTCGGTGCCTGAAGGATAACCCAGAGAACATATCTGAAAGGGAAAGAAAGTGTCTCAAAAGAGCCTTGGGAAATGAATGTGTTCCTCTTTCTTTTTTTTATGAGACAGGGTTTCTCTGTATTGTTTTGGAGGTTTCTGAACTCTAGACTAGATATTGAGAAGGGTAGAGTCCATGGAGCCCTGCCCCAGGCCATCAGTAACTTAAAGAAGGAGTCATTGAGGACATACAGTTGAACTATTCTCAGTGGTATTAGAGACAATATACAAATAAGTAGTGAAGCACTAGATCAGAATTCGTATACAGTTTCTATAAATTGGCATTCAGAACCTTTTACATTTACCTGAGAGATCTCCAAATCAATTGCTCTTCATTCCAACAGTTGCTTTTCTAAAGGTGTTAGACCTTTGAATTTCATCTATAGAGTCATTAAAATCCAGTCTGATGCTCCAACACCTAATATACAATCAGTAGGACCTAACCTAGGAGAAATGTCAAGGGCAGGAGATTCCTCCAGGCCTAGTGTCTCCTTCCAGTATCCCCCATAACACTTCAGAGTTCCAGAGAGTTTATAGGGACATAGAGGAGACTGGAAACATGGAACAGGTAACAAAGCTAACCCTGTCACTGATGTTGCCATAGTCATCCATGTATTTTAAGGCAGAGAAAATGGCTCTAGAACATTATTTTAAGGCATAGAATAGGAAACCCATTGGAAAATTGAAAGCAGTCTCCATTTCAACTGACCCCAATCCAAACACTATGAAGTTCACATAAATGTAATGGAAGATATCCCCATCTGTTCCTGCCTGATATGGAGAAAGATCATATATAACACGGAGAACATGTAGAAATGAGAGCTCTGATGCCATGTGCCATGAAAGTTCAGAATCCGGAACAGGGCTTGAGCAGACCCTAACCTACGACATCTAGAGAGAGCCTGAAACCTGTTGCACCCCAGGTGACAACAAATCCCTCTTAGCGCACACTAAATGTTTATGTCTAGGTGGAAGTGTAGTGTGTGCTGTGTGTTGTGATGAGGGCTAAAACCTCTACCATTGGGTGGTATGGAGACAGCTGTCATTCTGGATCTTATAATAGCACTCCATTGGAGGGTAGAGTCAGGTGGGGAAGCTTCGGGACCTGATACCTAGATAGTCATGTGTGCTCTGCATGCTCCTCCCCTGTTAACAACTTAAACATTGTCAGTTTAAGGACATGAATGACACTCACACACACTCTTCACATAATTTTCAAGTGTCAGGCCTAGATAACTACTCCTGTTCTGACACATATGCCTCCTTCCCTGATTAGGTACAATACAGTACTGGTTGTCAGAACCCACTGATCAACACCACTCACATACCATACAGCCTCAAATACATCCCTAAATATCGGCCATCCAGGAAACCTTCAGGTAGGGAGCAGCTCAGTGAGTTTTCAAGGGGAATTGAACTCAACAGGCATTCCAAGGCCCTGATCTGTGTGAATCATTACTGAAGGTAAGATTGAGTGAAGTAGGTATCTTTTTGTGGGTGAGGGTGAGATTCAGAAGCCTGGTCTTGATGTCCTGAAGAAAAGGTACACATGAGGTGGCCTATGCTAGCATCTCCAGCACATTGGGACAGTTACCATTGTCCTGCTTGACTGAAGAGTACTGACAGAATGAGAGACAATGGAGGTGTGGAAAGAGAGGTGCTATCTTCTTTTTGAGCTTGGCATCCAGCTTCCATTCTGATAATCTGATCCTGGCGTTTTCTCAGGCAATCTTGAAAATTGAATTTGTTAATTACTTCTTCATCCCTGCATGACAACAGATAGCTCATGCTGTCACTTCCCTTCTAGAACTCTGACCATCTGATGAGTCCCATGTGCACAGAACAAGTAGCAGCTTGCATAGCGGATTACAAGGATTTTCAGTTTGTGGGAATCAACTGTGCTCAGGCCTTGCTTTTCTTGCAGATCAATGATGTCAGGTTGAATCAGGAAATGAGACAGGGAAATTTCCTGAATGCCCATTTTGTATTTTATACTTTGAGAGATGATTACCTATGGACCTGGTTAACTTGAACATTTCTGTGTAGAACAGGCAGATCTCAACATCACAGAGATCCAAGCCTGCCTCTTCTCCTGAGTGCTGTCTGGCTTTAGGTACTGTATAGAATCAATGGTAATTTCTCGCAAACATGTGAGGTAGAATCTTACCAATTTTTTCTTTTTTCATGTGGATAGGGTCAAGATTTTACCTGAAGGAACCTTCATCCAGGAAGGACTTGAAACAGGGCGCTAACTGCAAATGTGACCTGCAGAATAGAGTCTGTGTCCACCATGAACAGACCGTTAGAGGTGAGAAGTGTTGTCATCAATTCTTTTGTGGACACAAGGCAGTGAACTGAAGGAGGTGTGTCCTAGGTGATAGATCTGTGGATTTAAGGCACAGAGTATTAACATGTAACAGCAACCCTGTTTCCCCTGAATCCCAGTTACAAGTCACATGATTTTAATCTGATCTTTCAGAATAGTGAAGACTAGCTCCCTGGTATGTTTGATTGAGTTCATCCTTTTAGGACATCAGAACATGTCGTAGAACCAAGGTGGGTCACCAGGATATTTGGTAGTTGTCTTGGTATTTTGTAGTCAGAGCTTTTACTCTAAGGACACCAATGGTAGAGATACTGCAGAAAGTCACAGTTCTTGATAGGAACTTCTTTTGACTCATCAAACAAAAGAATAGAGTTCACCTTCCTGCTGTCTCCAAGTCTAGTCTTATCATAGGCCCCACATTACTGTGTTTAATTGTCAAACATGTTTGGAATGTACATTAGGCCATGGATCCCTCTTCATAGGTGCATGATAATGGAGGGTCCAGGGCAACAGGATTCCTGATACTAAACCAACTATGACTCTGTGGAGTAGCCTCTGGGCTCTCTGTGAGAATAGAGATGATCTTCCCCCTCCCCAGTACACTGTGGATCATCACAGGAGACAACTCTCCTATTACATGTCCTTTGTGTCCTGTCATTTGAGTTCTGGCCCTGATAGACATTCAGATTTTACATAAGAAAGAACAGAGAAGGTTGGCTTTTGGGACTTGCTTGTTGCATGTAATATAGTCATCTTAAGATACATTGTTTTCTGGAAAATTTCAAATACTGACACTGAATATGTGCTCTTTGCTCCACACCCTCGTCATATATTAATTTCATGTTTGTTGATATTTCAAATTGTCTTATCTCCTTTGCAAATGGCACATTAACTTCTTTCTATATATGGGTAGGAAATTTACAAAACATAGTTCCATATCACCAGTCCCACACTTTTCCCAGCCTCTATGTCCAGTGACTGAGTTGAGTTGGAGAGCATGAGAACCTGGGATACAGAGGCAGCAAGAGACAATTTGTACAGAGAGGATTTTGGGATGATGGCAGAGACAGAATGGAGTCTGCATGGGGAGAGGGATGTGCAGTGGAGTAAGAACAGTGGGGTAAGAACACTCCCAAGTGATTAAACTATGCTGTGTTTTATTACCAGGGGTTTGAAGGTTCACAATTGCTACCAAAAAAAGATCCAGAGAAAATGAACTGTTTGTTGTTTGACACACAGCTTTTGTGTTTGTGGGTAGTTACCAGTAAAGCAGGCTTCAGTCCTGATGCCCGTAACTGACACCAATACATGGGTAAAAGGTACTTGCCTACCATGGCAGGTCATGGAATCTCACAAGAGACAGCACAAGTGGACCCAGGGCTCCAAGCCCATGTGCTGATCTCTAAGATTGTGAATTTCAGAATGAAGACATGATGCCCAAGAGAGCAGGTACGCATAATGTGCACTTTTTACATCTCTGACCACAGTAGGGATGATATTGTGGCCTTTAGAGTGTTATCTGAGAGAAGTCAGCAATGATAAGATTCACACACTTAGCACCCTCCTGCCTCACTCTCTGTCTGATGAATGGATCAGGAACAGAAACGGGGCAGTCAATACCAGCTATTCGTTTACACATCTTTACACACACTACTCCAACTTGGTCAGTACTCTAATTGTCGTTCTTAATTGGTCTAATTAATTAAAACCAGGTGACTGATATGGAGGAAAATGATGAGATACCAGAGAGAAGGTGCAAGCCATGGCCATAGCTCACCTCCTCAGCAACTCAGGAGACAAGGGAGTGAGTTCCCATTTCCCTGTGTTACATTCTGCTCAGCTATCGCACTTCATGTCTGTTTGTACAGAATTCTGTGGTTAGTTAGTGGCAAGCTCCATTCTATAATCCTCAGTCAGGCAATGTTTTTACAGGCAAGATATCACCACACAGTTCTGTTCACCACTGGGAGCAGTGGAGGAAACTGAGTCCTAGAGATGTTCTGAACTTGCTCTTTTGGAGAGCATTACTGATTAGAACACTGCTTATATTCCTTTGATTCAGATAGATAACAATTGTGGTAACACCCTGGGTCACTTGAATTCTCAGAGGTCAACTGCAGAATTGTAATTGACCTTACTTTCTCTCCAGGTTCTGTTGGTCATGTTCTGTGACAAAGCTCCTTTCACCATATGTGCACCGTATGTCATCTAGGTGAGTGTCCAATAGGAAGGGGTGCAGGAAGCTCAGGGCCCAGGTACACAACATGATGGTGGTAAACTGCTGCTACTCCTTGATACTACAGACTTGTTATGGGACAGTAGCAGGGAATCCAGGACAAGCAGGAATGGGATCTTCCTAAGAGACCACACCGAATTCTACCTCAGAACATCACATGGGATAGAAACGGAGATTTACTGGTCCTCATCAGGTACTGATTTTCAGAAATATAAAACTGCTATTAACTTAGAGGCTACAGGTCTAGGGATTGTGAATGAATCTTCTGTAAGACTCATCAGGGGTCTAAAATCAGCCCTTTTTGTATTTTATGTTATTAGAGAGGATTGACTATGGTCCCTGGCTAACCTGAGCCTCTCTATATATAACAGCCATATCTCAAAATTACAGAGATCCAAGCCTGACTTGTTTCCTGGGTGATGTCTCGCTTCAAGTACTGTATTGCATCACTGGTAATTTCTTCCAAACATGTGAGGTAGAATCTTACTAAGGTTTTTTTTTTGCTTTTTTATCTGCACAGGGTCAGGGATTGATCTGAAGAACATTAATCCAGGATGGACTTGTATCAGGAAATAATCTAAATTGGGCCTTCAGAATAGAGACTGTGTCCACTTTGAACAGATGTCTGGAGGTGAGAAGTTCTGTCATGAATTCTGTGGACCCAAGGCAGGGAACTGAAGGAGGTGTGCCCTAGCTGGTAGATCCTTGGATTTAAGGCACAGAGTATTAATGTGTAGGACTAACGCTGTTTACCCAGAAACTCCACCTGCTGTCCAGTTACAAGTTACATGACTTTCATCTGATACATCAGAATAGTGAAGATTGTCTCCCTGGTGTGATTGATTTTGTTCTTTCCTTTTAGGCCATCAGAACAAGTCTTATAACCACGGTGGGTCACTGAGACATTTGGTAGTTGTCTTGGTATTTTGAATGCAGAGGTTTCAGTTCAAGGACAAAAATGGTAGAGACACTTGAGAAAGCCACACTTCTAGATAGAAGCTTCTTTTTGACCTCATCCATCAAAAGGATAGAGACCACTTTCCTGCCATCTTCCAAGTCTAGTCGTCTCATAGGCCCCACATTGCTGTGTTTTCTTGTCCAACGTGTTTGGGTTGCACTTTAGGCCTTGGATCCCTGTTCATAGGTGCATGATAATGAGGAGTCCAGGGCAGCAGGAGTCCTGATACTAAACCAACTAGGACTCTGGGCAGCAGACTCTAGGCTTTTGTGAGGGTGGAGGTGATCATTCCTCTCCCCAGTACACTGTGGACCATCCCAGGAGACCACTGTCCTATACATGTCCTTTGTGTCCTATCATTTGTGTTCTGGCCTGATAGACCATCAGGTTTTACATTTGAAGGAAAAGAGATGGTTAGCATTTGGGAATTGAATATTGAATTCTATATAGCCATCTTAAGATGCATTGTTTTCTGGAAATATTCAAATACTGACACTAAATATGTGCTGTTTGCTCCACCTCCTCTTCATATATTAATTTCATCTTTGTTGATATTTGAAACCATTATCTCTCCTTTGCAAATCACACATTAACTTGTTTCTCTATATGGGTTTGAAATGTATGAATCTTTGTTCAAAATCACCATTCCCTCACTGTTCCCAGTTTCTATGTCGAGTGACTTAGTTGAGTTGGAAAGCATGAGAACCTGGGATACAGATGCAGCAAGAGACAATTTGCAGAGCGAAGACTTACAGAGGATGGGAGAGACAGAATGGAGTCTCCATGGGGAGAGGGATGTGCAGTGGGGTAAAAACAGTGGAGACTGAGTGCTGCATATTTCAGATTCCCTTTCAATCCTTTCCACATGTCCTTGTCTTTAAACTCATGAACTCTATACATCAGGTGACACAGGCTGGAGATTTCACGCTGTGGACTGAAAGAGAAGTAGGAAATATGCAGAAATTACAAATTACAGTGTGCCCAGAATCCAGCATGAAGTCTGTGTCCAGCACAGGAGGAGGTAAACCATCTACCACAGGTTTCCCACCAGGAAACCCCAATATTCAAGGAAAAATGATCCAGGTCTGCCCTTTCATATCATCTTAGACGGAACTCTGAACCAATACCTTGTCCCACGTTGCCATGAATGTACAGAACCTGTAGACTAGTGAAATGTTTCCCCAATGAGGGCAAGGAAGCTCCTTTCCTTTTTGTCTCCTCATCCACCACCTCCTCCCCTCCCTGCTGTTTTGTTTGGAGTCGTCATTTATCCTTGTGACCTGACCTTTAGAAAAGCACAGTTACACTTCATGCTGGTGAAGTTTATGTGTTTGGGAGGGGAACTCACTGTAGCATGTTCATCAGAACTATATTTGTCTCCTGACAGGAAGGTGACAGCAAGCTGGAGGAAATTGGGTGTCACTGTGGGTGGAATGCTAGTATGCTCCATTGTGGAAGTGAGTAGGATTTTCCTAGCCTAGGACACAGAGGCCAGAGTTGGGGTCAGTGTTTTTTAAACTACTTTGTTCCTATATGTCCCAGGGTCCAGGGGTCAGGCCTGGACAGGTTGGGTGACAATAAAGTTCATCTGTGGGCCCCACATGTCATCACTGTGAGCACTATGTACCAGCCTGTGAAAGATGAGAAGTTTTTGTTTTACGCTGTACACCCAACTCTGGCTTACAGGGAGGTAGCAGATGACTTTCTAGGCAGGTTTCCTCAATCCCAAGGGAATGTGTTTGTTGACCTTATGTTACAGAGGACCAGAAAGAGAAAGTCAGCATCACCCTAGGCGTGGATTCAGAGGGATTTTGAGAGAACTTGGTGCAGGTAGCACATATCTCCTCTCTGACACTAACAGCACTGAGGAGGAAGTGCTTGATTCAATGAGCGTCAACATCTTCTTACACCTGTGTATTATGATAGTAATAAGATATGATAGTCATGACTTTCTGTCACACCGAAGTGACTAAATATATGTTGTGTTCCATCACCAGAGCCATGAATGTTAACAATTGCTAAATATATGTTGTGTTCCATCACAAATGCCATGAATGTTCACAATTGCTAGCAAAAACCAGGTCCAGAGACTCTGAACTGTTTGTTTCTTGACACACATCTCCTGTTTTTGTCAGTACTTACAACTAAAGCACGCTTCATTTCTGATGCCCTTAAGTGACATTAATACGTGGATAAAAGATAGTTTCCTACCATGGCAGGTCATGGAATCCCACAAGAGACACCACAAGCAGACCCAAGGATCCAAACCCATGTGCTTGTCTCTAAGCTTGTGAATCTCAGAATGAAGATATGATGCCCAAGAGAGCAGGTGAGCATAATATGAACATTTTACATCACTGGCCACTGGAGGGAGCATTTACACTGTTACCTGAGAGAAGTCAGCTCATGATCAGTCTCCCTTTTTAAAACCTTGCTTCCTTACTTCCTGCCTGATGGATGGTGCAGGAACAGGGCAGTCAATACCAGCTATTTGTACACACATCTTAAAACACACTATTCCAACTTTGTCAGTACTGGAATTGTCGTTCTTAATTGGTCTCATTAATAAAAACCCAGAGTCAGGTAAAGAGGAAAATGCTGAGATATCAGAGAGAAGGAGCAAGCCATGGCCATAGCTTACCTCCTTAGCAACTGAGCATACAAGAAAGTTAGTTCCTTTTTCCCCTGTTATACACTTCCCAGCTATCGCAATTCCTGTCTGTCTGTACAGACCTCTGTGGTTAGCTAGTGGCAAGCTTCCTTCTCTGATACTCAGACATCGTTGTTTGTGAAATCAAGCTCTCAGCACACAGTTATGTTCACTGCACAGTGGAGGAACCTGAGACCTAGAGATGTTCGGTATTTTGCTCTAGTACAGAGAGTATGACTGATTGGAACACTGTTTAAATTTCTTTGCCTCAGATACCATGACAATTGTGTTAACAGCCTGGGTCACTTGAAGTCTCAGAGGTCAACTGCAGAATTGTAATTGACTGTCGTTTCTCTCCGCAGATGTCCAAGTTCTGTTGGACATGTTCTGTGACAAAGCTCCTTTCACCATATGTGCATTCTGTGACACCTAGGTGAAATGTCCAATAGGATGGGTTGTAGGAAGCACTGGGCCCAGGTACACACATGGTGGTAGTAAGCTCCTTGATTCTACAGCCTTTTTTAGGGACATTTGCAGGGAATCCAGGACAAGCAGCAATCAGAACTTCCTAGGAGACCACACTGAATACTACCTCAGAAAAGTCACATGGGATGAAATTGGAAATTGACCCATCCTCATAAGGTCAAGAATTTCACAAAGATAAATCTGTTATCTGATAAGCAACAGGCTAGGGTTGCTGAATGAATCTTCTGCAAGTCTTATCAAGGGTGTAAAATCAGCCTTCTCTTGTAGGTGCCTGGTTAAATCGTGGACCCCCAACTCCTGACCTAGAGTTGTGCATACTGAGCATTTCTGACTGTGAAGAAGGAGTAGGCTTCTTAGCTCTCTTCTCGTGGAAGATTACCATGTCTATGCTGAGGGCCAGAGGAGCTCAGACATGGCTCAGGACACTATGAGGAAAAGATGTGGAGTATGATTCAGTGGTCATACTTCCACCTTCCAAGTGCAGACAACGACCCAAATCACCAACAACATCTGTGGAATATACAGGAGGGTCCACTAGTGAAAGCCTCACAGTGGGTAGATATTTCTGAATCCTGACCCCTACCCAACTTAGATCGCTTTGCATTCTGATAGTGTAGAAATTTACCTATGACTCTCTGTCTGCAGGATAACCCAGAAAACATGCCTGTGGGGATAGAAAGTATCTCAGAAGACCTTGAAAAATGAATGTACTCCTCTTTCTGTACTCCAGACTTGGTCTTGAGAAGGGTAGAGTCCATGGAGCCCTGTCCCAGACAATCACTAACTTGAAGAATGAGACCTTGACAACATACAGTTGGACTATCCTTACTGGTATTAGAAAAATGTACAAACTCCCATTGAAAAACTCAATCAAATTTCTATATAATCTCTATAAATTGGCTTTAGGACACTTTGCATGTGCCTGAGAGATCTTCAAATTAATAGCTATTCATTCCACCAGTTGCTATTCTAGAGGTGTTAAATCTATGCATTTCTTCTATAGACTCAGTACAATCCTGTCTGATGGTTCAGCACCTAATAAAACAACCAATAGGACCTAACCTATAAAAGATGCCAATGGCAGAAGATATACCTGCAGGCCCAGTGTCTAGTTCCACTACTTCACATAAATCCTCAGAGATCCAGAAAGTTTACAGGGACATAAAGGAGACTTGACATTGGGAACAGAACAGAAAGCTCAGCAACAGACACCACTAAATCCTGTCACTGATTTTGTCATAGTCTCCCATGTAATTCAAGGCAGAGATAATGGTGTGTACACAAAGGGCTGCAGAAAAACATTGAAAAACAAAGAATAGGGAACACATTGAAAAATTGAACGCAGTCACCATGTCAACTGACCCTAATCAAAACCATATAATTTAACATAAAATCATGAGAGACATCCATGTATGTTCCTGCCGTATATGGAGAAAGGTCATAAATATCACAGAGAACCTGTAGAAACGGGAGCCCTGAAGTCATGGGCCAAGATAATTCAGGAAATGTAGCAGGGCTTGAGCAGTCACTTCGCTAGGACTTCTATAGAAGCCTGACTCCTGACCGCTGACACATCTCAGGAGACAACAAATCCTCTCAGTGTCCATTGAGTGGTTATGTCAAGGTAGAAGTGTGGTTGATGCTGTGTGCAGTGATGAGGGCTAATACCTCACATCGTGTGGGATGGAAATTGCTGTCCAGGTGGATCTCATAATAGCACTCTATCGGATGGTAGATTTAGGTGGGGAAGCATCAGTCCTTGATACCCAGATACTCATGTGTGCTCTGCGTGCTCCTCCCCTGGTTATACCTTACATCATTGTCAGTTTAAGGATATGAACGACATCTTTTCACACACTAACTACATAGTTCTAGGAATCAGATCTAGATATCTCCAGTCATGACATGCTTGCCTCTTTCCTGAATAGGTATAATACATTGCTAGACACCACACTTGCCACACCCCTCTTGCACTGCAAATTGTCATATCTTGCAGAACAACCCCCTCAAATATCATACAGCCTCAGGACATCCCTAAATATTGGCTATGTAGTAATTCCCATACAGCCATATGCTCTCAGATAGGTGACAGTTCTGGATGAGCAAACTAGCCCCCATAGCTCCTATAGATTTCTAGACATTGAACTGTTAATGAAACTCACTTAATCTCGCTTTCAGTGCTAGTCATAGGGTTGTGCTGGATAATCTTCCACTCTGCCCAAAATACAGTGCTATTACTGGGTTCCCAAGGACACCATCACACCATGGAATGCCCACATGCACTGAAAGTTATCAGCACCTCTTCTTCATCCCACCACAGTAGTGACATTCTCCAATGTTAATATCAATTCTTCTTAGTACACCTAATGAAATGAACCCATATAAACTTTTAGGACTTTCCACCTGCTAGGTACTGAAACAACACACTGACCATGACAGCTCCTATATTGATAGCTGAAGGCCCTTTAAATAAACATCCCCCTGCAGTGGTCTCTAGTTCATTGTTAGGTATCATGCCGGTGACTCCCTAATGCCTCACACAGTTACATTCAGGTATCCCTGGATAATAGAGCAGCCTCTGCCAACCTACTCTAATATTAACAGGCCTGGATTGACACCTATTAATACCGTTACCTAAATATATTAAATACATATGGTGCCGTGCTGGATGCACCCTCCTATTGATATCCACTGATATGCATAGTTATTCTTCAGGCCCTTTAGACACCCCACCTCTCCTGTGACCACACATTTGATTCTGAGTATCAGGTCATGTTTGATCTCCTACCCTACAAACCACTTGCTTTTACAGCTAATGATAAAACTCAGGTCTATATGTCATGTCCTCCTTGGTGTTTCTTCAATCATAACCTGTAATTAGGACTGTGGTGTTGTTGTTGGAAGTATTTTACAGGAGCCATTTCTTATTAATACCTAATGTGGTTGACACAGGCCCACTGTGGGAGTCTCCACCGGTGTATATTGTTCCTGAATTGTGTTTGAAAGCAAACTTAAACAGCCATGAAGAGCATGCTAGTAAACATCTGTATTCTGACACACGAGAGTTCCAAAAATGACTTTCATAATGACAAATGTAGAGCAGGATGTGGGAGCCAAATAAATTCTTTCCACTTGTTTGGGTTTTGCTATGATGTGTCTGTCATTGATAGAATACTGGGACAGCATTCTAGGAATGTCCTCAATTAAGAATCCTCCAGCCTCCATTTACTGACTCCTGGCTATAAGTATGCAATATATACCTATATGAGCAAATATGTCAAGCATTAGGGGAAGCTATGGGATCCCTACCCCTTTGTGAACAGAAACAGAGGAGGAGTGTATTTATGGGTGTGTGGACAGAGGAGAGTAGTGAGGAACATTAGGAGAGGAAGCAGGGAGAACTGATATGTGGAGGTAAAATAAATTATTAAAATAAAAAGAACAGTTTTGTATGTAATTATAAAACTTCAAAATGAGTTTATTGTGGAACAACACCTTCAGGGGTACAAATAATTTCTGCAATATATTCAGAAGACAAATGCAAAATGAAATGATAGCTGAAAATAGAAGCTAAATGACTGCCATATGTACTAGAGAATAAAACCACAGTAGAAATGAAAAAAAACATAAGTCTAACAAAAAGTAAAGAGGAAATCCTCAAAACAGAGAATGCATTGAAAACATGGCTGGAAAGCAAGTTAAGTTTTGTCATTTAAGTAAAGTTCAATGATAATTTATTTCAGTATGAGGGAACATGTTAAATATTAGAAATCACCCCCGTTGATATAGGTAAAACTGTGAATTGCCTGCCAAAATATGGATATGTCCAATAAAAACAGTGAAGAAAATTTCCACACGCTGTACATGTCTTGCATTGCATGATGTAAAGCAGTACATGTGAAATATTGGTAGTGATGATCATGTTAAAAGAAAACTTGTGTGTGTGTGTGTGTGTGTGTGTGTGTGTGTGTGTGCACAAGGATTAGAGTGTTTGCTTTGAGTCCTCACCTGCAGTGAAAGTGATGTCAAGCTCTGGTGTAGTAGTCTGAGCTGGCTGGGACCCATGGTCTCTTAGTGTTGGTAGAATATTTGTCCAGTACCTTATGGCTCCATAGTTTCCATGAAGAAGTCTGGTGTAATTCTATTGATAGGCTTGCCTTTATATGATACTTGTCATTTTTCCTTAGCTATTCTTAATATTCTCTCTTTATTCTCTAGTTTGAAATTTTTCTTATTATCTGGCATTGGAAAGTTTTTTTGGTTCAGTCTATTTGGTGTTCTGTAGTCTTCTTCAATATGCATTGGCATGTCTTTAGTTTGGGAATCTTTTCTTCAATGGTTCTGTTGAATATGTTTTCTGCACCTTTTCTGGTAGGTTTCTTTTCCTTCTTCTATACCCATTATTCTTAGGTTTGTTCAGTTCAGGGTGTCCCATATTTCCTGAATATTTTGTGTTAGGTATTTGTTAGACTTAAGAATTTTTTTGGTCAAGGAATCCATTTCCTATAGTTTATCTTCAGTGCCTGAGGATCGGTCTTCCATCTCTTGTATTCTGTTGGTTATGCTTGCATCTGTAGTTCCTGATATTTTACCCAGCCTTTCTATTTCAAGCATTCCCTCAATTTGTGTTTCCTCATTGGCTCTACTTCAGTTTTCAGGTCTTGAAATGTTTCCTTCATCTGTTTGATTGTTTTTCTAATGCTACCTTTAAGAGTTTTGCTGATTCCTTGTATTTTCCTGTTAGTTTTTTCTCTTCCAATTATTGAAGTGATTTTCTCATATTCTCTTTGAGGACCTCTATCTTTTTCTGAAGTTAATTTTAAAATCATTATCTTCTGCTTCATCTGCGTTGGGATGTTAGGTTTGCCGGTGTAGTTTCCCTAGATTCTGGTGGTATCATTTTTGATTTTCTGTTGTTGAATGTGCCTTATTCCCATTCCTCTTCCATTGAGAGCAGGAGGAGCCTCTTCCTCTCCTGGTGGCTTCGGGTCCAAGGTTCCCAAACTATTGGGTACAAGGAGGCTCAATATTCCCATGACTCTGCTCTTCCCATAGGTGGAGGCTGGATTAGTTCCAGGGCCTTGGCAGTCTCTGGGTAGGCTGTAATGGACTGCTGGGATGGCATCTCCATTTCTCAGTCCTCAGGCCTTAGGGGACTCCAAGCAGGGCATCAGTCATATAATTCCCTAGTCCCATGGGTAGAGGTGGGACTAGGATGCGGGCAGGATCTGTGTGGAATGGTCTGGGCCACCGTCATGGGATCCCTAGTGCATCATCCCCACACATCAGTCAACTTTGAGCAGAGCACCATAAGGAGGACCATGAATAGGCCAACACTTACCTAGTCCTGTGGGTATAGGTGGAATTAGTATGCTGGCAGCCTCTTGGTAGCCTGTACCATGAGGATGGGATCCCCAATGCATGGATCCAGGCATCAAGCAACTCCCAATTTTCCTTCTGATGTTGCAGGAGGCCTTTGTACCTCACGGTTAAAAAAGGTGCCCTCTCATAAGTAAATCTCTTGAAGGTACTGGTTCATAGGCATTACAAATATAAGTGTAGTTAATGAGGACACTAAGAGAGAGAAAAAAGAACAAATCCCCATGGCTATGGCTGAACTGTGATTGGCCTGTTGCATGTGACATCACAAGGACTCATTGTCAAGTAAGCTAGATAGCAGTCAGTGTAAGGTTACCTGGGGTGGGTTCTGTCTCTACTACAAATGATTTGTTTGGTGAAGGAGCATTTGTAGTCAGTCATTTCTCATTAATTTGAACTCTCCAAGCTGGTTGTTTCTTTAAACAGCGATTTTTTCCCTGATTATCGGTTTGACTTTACTTGTTTTGGTGTTTATTGATTTTTTAAAAATTTAATTTAAGTTTTTCACATGTTACTCCCAGCTCCCTCTCTCTCCACAGCTCCCTGGACCCCCCAACCCTGCACCCCATCCCTCCTCTGTGCCCCAGGAATGATAAGGGCTTCCACAAGAGGGACTTTCAAAGTGTGTCCTATCATTCTGGGCAGGGCCTAGGCCCTCTCCCTTGTGTCCAGGCTGACAGAGCATCCCTCCATGTGGAATGACTCCCAAAGTCCGTTTGTATGCCAGGGATAAATACTGATCTACTATCTGAGGGCCCATAGTTTGGCCAAGGCCTCCTCTCTGACACCCAGGTTCAGGGGGTCTGAATCAGCTCCATGCTGTCCTCTCAGTCGCCAGTGGAGTCCATGAGTTCCCACTACTTCAGGTCACCTGTCTCTGTGGGTTTCACCATTGATTGAATTTTTGACAACATGTATTTCTTTAAAATTAAGCTATATTTCAATTCCTTCTCTGACTGAGATTATCCATGTTTTAGAACCTCATTTATTTGACATTGTTAGGTATATTGTGGATTATTTTATACTTTGGTGGTATGTATGTACACAATGAGGAATGTGATCAAGATCACATTTTTGTCTAGGAGAGAAATTGATAATATTCAGAAGCTCTCTGTCACTTCCTTGCCCATGTCATACGACCAGTACTTCCCAATATACAAATATTTATTCCCTTCTCTGAATATGTCCCGAGTTAGACAATTGATGTTTTGTGTTTGTAGAATTGAATTGCTTGTATTAAAACTTTCTTTAGTTTTGTGATTGTCCTTGGCATTGGGAATTCCTGCCTTCAAAGTAAACTTTAGGTTGTGACTATGCTATGCTCTTTGTCTGCTTTTGTATGTGGAGTGATTCTTATCTTTCAAGTGAAGACATCTTGTTCACAAAGAATGGTGTTTTCCAAGTGTCACTGAGGATGAAGTAAAGGATGTATCTATTCTTGTCCTTAGAACACTCCCATGTTCTTAGTCAATGACCCTGTCAGACAGCCATCTATTTTCAAGGTGTCTTTACTTGGTAAGATAGTAAGGGCTTTGTGAGAAGAGTTTGTTTCATAGAAATATTTGAAAGTATCCCTTTCCTTAGTTTATGGGATACTGCAATGTTTGTGGGTCATTACAGGTACTTTTTTTAATTGCCAGATTAATCAGTGAATTTTCCTGAAACACGACAGCAGGTTGTTAACCAATTGGCTCTTTCACATTGTGCTGCTTGGTGTATTATTTGGACTTTTAAGTTCTTAGGATGCAGAGGCAAGGACAAAGTGTTTGAGGTCATAATGGTCTACAAAATTAACTCCAGGAGAGTTAAGGCTACACAGAGAAACCTGGTTTTGAAAACAAATAAACAAAAACGAGGTGAGTTCTGGAAGGACTTTGATACTGGAAAAGGGCATGCTTCCAAGCCAAACGACTCTAGGAAGGATGTCCATGCTTTGGGAGTCTTAAGCAATTTCATTTCCATCAAACAAATTATGTCTCCATAGATTTCAAGTCTCTGGGAAAAGGAGAGGTCCTGCACTGCCAGGATAAAGGTTTATTTTATATGAGGCCTGCACTACATAACACAGGAAGGAATCTGCAACTGAATCTACTTGTAGCAGTAATTTTTTTTATGATTTCACCCTGTTTTATTAATTGTTTTTTGACATTCCAGGCCAAGTTACTCCCTCCCTCATCTCCTCCCTATCCCTCTACTTCTGTCCCATCTGCTCCTTTGAGAGGGTAATGCCTCCCTTTGGAAGTTTAAGAAGTGTGACTCATCATCTCCTTGAGGCAGGGACAAGGAACTTCTTTACCCCTACAACCCTGTGTGTAGACTGGGCAAAATGTCTCTCCATATAGAATGGGCCCCACTAAGCCAGGTTGTACATTCACATTAGATGTTGAACCCACTGCCAGTGGCCTCTTATGTTGTCCCAGTCACATCAGTGTAATGTAAAATAATGGAGTATAGTTTGGTCTTATGCAGGTTTGTGCTGGTGTATGGGACACAGTCAATGTGTGACTGTGTGACAGCAATGAATCATCCTTGATATATGGACAACACAGCTGAGATAGGGAACGGTATAAACCCCCTTTGTAAAACCCATGTTTGTTGGTTACTTTTCTGTAGTCATACCAATTCATAAACAGGAAATTTCAAGAAATAGCACATCTGCCTCATGTTTGGAGGGATAAGAGCCCTTGATAGATAGTGTGACATAAGCATGGCAGCTAGCTGGAAGCTTGAAGGCAAAGGAGGGGACTGTCATGCACTCCAACCTCAGAAGGAAGCAGAGGGAGCAAAGACACTTGAGGTTTTTTCACCTCAAGGACAGTCCCGGTGATGGACTTCTGACACTAGAGCGCCACCATGCAAAGTCCCAACTGTGACATCAACTGTGCTGTGTGTCCATGAGTTCAAACACACCATTTGTATGAGAGATTTATACTTCAGACTACCACAGCCATTTTGTTAAATGTATGTCAGTTGTGCTGAGCATGGTTTCTAGTTTGGGAATTTGTGGAAATATGGATGTGGAGCTAGCTAGAGAAAGTTTGTCTTTTGAGGAGAGAGAAGTTCTATTGCAGGGTTACCAGCCACCTAACTATCAGTTCTATAGGAACAACAAGCTCTCACCACAAATGTTTCAATGTCTCTTGGAAGCCTGAACACAAATAAACACTCACTGCCTACAGTTGATTTTGGACTGGGGTATGGTCAACATGAGAAGAATATTCAGTACACAACCTGATCAAAACACTGTTATTTCTGACAAGTCATGATTGATTGGTTTCTTGTGCTGACAGCACAAGGATGCATTATGAAAAATGTTTGCAAATAGGGCACGTTAGACACAGCTTAAATTGGCTTTATCCCATATCTTGGAATAACTCCTGGTTGCCTCCATAGAGTTTGGAATTATATTGGCTCTGTCTGGTAATTAGGAATCTCCAATCTCCTGGACTTTGGTAGACAGAGTGTGATTCCAT